TCTCCTGCAGGTGTCCGCTCTGGGGTTATTACGCGGGTTTTTTTTTCCTCTTTTTTTTTTGTTGGCAAAGGCGAGCCAATAGACTTATATAGGCCTAACAAATGACTCGCATTAGTCAAATTGACTTGCACTCATGTAAATGCAGGGAAGCTCGTTTTGAGATGTAGATTGCGACGGAGGCTCAGAGAGAGAGACTATTGAAATAGTTAATAATTGCATTTGTTTGAAGGAAGAAAAAAAAACGAGCGCATTTGCGATTCTATAGGCTCAGTTATCGAGAGTGTGAAGGGCAGCGGTTCGCGGTTCCTCATCTCCATCTCTTTGTTCAGCCAACAGTGGGAGGTGGACCCGCGCTATACGGGAGCGAGGGAGGGAGGGGAGAAACATTTTAGAAAAACCCAGTGACGTTTTCTCCGGGGACAGAAATCGATGTATATTCATGCAGGACTTTCAATAGAACACGTGTTGAAATGCGTTATGTGCGATTATGTGTCAATAGGACTGATATGTTCAAGGAAAATACCAAATACAGATGAATTACACAAAAGGGCTGCAGGCCCACATCTAGGTCAACTTGCAAAAAAACGTCGTACATTTAAAAAATAAAAAAGAATAAAGCGTTCTATTAAGGGACGCTTTGAAAAAGGACCATTTTTTTATATTAAATTATTCTCGAAATCAGAAATACGACGTTTGAACCTTGACAATGAAGCTACAAGAATATCTGAAAAGCACAGGAATGCGTTTAGAAGAGCTGAGGAATATTTAGGCCTGATGTAGGTCACGTAGCAACAAAACTGCAAGTCAACAGGGGAGCTGCTATATTTATAATAACTTATCATATAAAGCAATTGGACTGTAGGGAATTTCCTCCGACAGTGGTGCATGATATACGTCACAGAATGGACACATTATGTATCTTAACTTGAAGAAAAGAAATGCACCACATAAATAATAATTCTCTCTTCACCTTATTTGCTAAATATGCATTGATGCATCGCTTGGTGTTAGACCAGACCATCTGGGATCACAGGCCTTAGCAGCACCGTGGACACATCGTGGCTCATCTTTTAACAGATCTGGATTCAGTTCTGTCTGCGTGTGGCACAAAACGTTGCGTCCTAAAAGGGGGAAAGAATAGCGTGCTGATGCGTAGTACGTCAGGAAAAAACCTGGTGTTTCATTTACAAAGTAGATATCATCCATTACAATCTTGGCAGGTGCTGTAAATGTAGAGGCCAAAAACAAACAAACAGGACGTGCGTTTTAGTTTTTTGGACGCGAGCACAAAGTCTTGAGCTCACCCAATGTTTTTTCTTTACCACCAGCCTGCAGCATTCAGCCACGATAGTCATGCACCTGCTTACAGGTTAAAAACCTCCAAGGTGTTGGCATTCAGGCGCACGCGGGACTCTGCCATGTCATTCTGGCTTCTTCAGCGCGCGACATTGCATTAAATGCTCGTGTGTGTGTGTGTGTGTGTGTGTGCCTAAAAACAGCGGTCTGCCCCGGTGCATGCATGCATGACGCGCTGCAGAAAGTCAGGCCCGGTGGTTTCAAGGACATTTGGGGCTGATGAGGATTTGGTTTTAATGTAGGG